TGGAAACCAGGAGGAATATGGGAGAGCCCGAGTTTCAGATCTCAGCACTGTTTCATCATACTTATGACCTCAGGCCGGAGCCTCTTAGCGTGGCTTCTCTAACCCTGTGAACAGCCAGGCCTGGGCAGTATAGTGTGGTTGTCTGAGGGATGGCCCCATACCTGCAGCGCTGGAGTTGCTGCATCTGATGCACAGGGCCCAGCCTTTCCTCCTGTCTCTTCCTACTGGAGCTGGAAAGCCTCCCAAATACCTGCAGGGTAGCATCTGCTTCCTGAGCCCCACCCCCACCCTATCTGATGGCCTGGCAGAAACTCAGGCTGTGGTGTACGTGTGGTGTGCCCCCCAAGGGGTTACGTGTTGGAAAGAGGGTCCTCAGTGTGGTGTGGGAGGGTTGGGGCCTCTAAGAGGCCAGGCCTATCGGGAAGTGATTGGGTCACTGGCTGTCCTCGGGAATTGGCCCTGCCTAGTTCTCAGGAAAGGGCTGTTAGGAAAGAGCAGGTCTTTCCCTTTTCCTGGTCTCTGGCTTCTCATTCCACCCTGCGATCGCTTCCCCTTGTTTACCATGTTGCTGTCTTCTATGAGGCGATGCAGCCAGGACCCACGCCAGAGACCCTGCCACGCTGTTTGGGCTTTCTGCCTAGCAGACGTCAAGCTACATGGCCTCTTTTGCCAGGGCCTCTGGAGACAGGGCCGTAAAGCCAGTCACCCAGGTCCAGTGGTGGGCCTACAGGAACTGTCATACTGAGCATTCTGTAGCCTCACGGTTTGCCCGTGTGCGTGACCCGGAATATGCGGGAGGGGGTATCGGGCATGCTCTTACCTTGCTGGTCCATGTAGATGGGGACCCCGCCCAGTGATGCCACAGAGTCCACCAGGAATAGGCACTGGTACCTGAGGAGTCATGGGCATTGAGGCAACACAGGGAAGCAGGAGGGAATCCTGGGAGTTCAGAGTTCAGCCCGGACTGGGGGTCTGGCAGGGGTGGGGGTGGGGCTTGAAAGTCTTTGGAAGGGCAGCAAGGAAGCAGAGAGGGGTCTCTCTCTCCCACTTCCTACATGGGGTCCCTTCCCTGAGGTAGCTCCATGAAACCAGAAGAGCTGTAGGGTTGGGCAGGTATCTATACCGGGGCCGGAGTGGGTGGGTCATGACCCAGATGGCTGTGCCGCAGGACCTCTCGGAGAGAGATGAGGGTCAACCTAAGCAAGCAGAGTTCTGGGTGCCAAGAGCCAGCGTGGGCCCCAGTAACCTGGCAGCACAAAGGTCTGGGTCCTCCCTCTACCAATAGCTACACACTTGGCCACCTGCCACAAACACATGGCCTTTAGAGGCCAGAGTCCAGCTCGAGCATGTTCATCCTCTTCTACCCAGGTTTCCCCATAGAACCATGTAGGCACAGCATGGGCAAGGCTTGAACCCCATAGTCTAATCATGCATTGGCGGGACTCAGTGTGAAGGACTCTTTCAGTGGGGGCCCTGCCCATACGGGCTCCATGACCCTGAGGACCATGGTAACCCTGCCATGGTAACCCTCTATGGCTGTGGAGAGGTCCTCTCCTGCCCTGTGGTCAACTCTACAGACAGCAGGGCTGGCTTCCAGGGGGGGGGGCTACCACATCCTGGAGCAGTTCTCCTGCAAAACCCCTGTGTGGGGGTGGGGGAGAAGTGCAGGCAAGGGGCAGCTTTGGTGCCTGGAGACTCTTTGAGTGAGGTGAGAGCAGGCTTTGAGATGCGCACGCACGGCGGGCAGGCAGCACCAGCCCTTGCTAGCCATGGGACCGCCAAGGCCAGTACCACTGTGGTGGCATCTGGCTAAAGGGTACTTGGTCCTAACTCCAGCTGCTGCATCCTCACCCAATAAAAGCTGACCACACGTATTTAACCTGGAGCAACCCCCCCCACACACACACACACGTCGTGGGACAGCGGCAGGTAGTGAGGTGAACTGGGAACAGTTGGGATACCTTGCCACGGTCAGCCCTGCAGCTCCCTGCCGGCATCACCCAGCCAGGTTGCATGCTTTGCTCTGCCCTGATTCGGCCACCCTAGGTCAGACTCACCTGTGGCAGAGCTCCCCAAAACCATCTAGGGGCTGCACCACACCAGTGGATGACTCCCCATGGGTCAGGAACAGCAGTACTGGTTTGTGCCGGGCCAGGCCCTGAGGGACAGAGGTGACAGCCGTGAGCAGAACCGCTGGGGATCTCTGCCTGGATCAGCCAGCCCCTTATAGAGGGACATTGGCATGTGAGGGCAGGGTTGGGATCTTCCACATATACCCAGCTCCCTCCAAAATGGAGCAGGCTGACTTAGAAAGCAAGACCGTGATGTGCCTCACCTTTCTGTCAGTGAGTGCTGACTGGGGAACTGGGTGGAAGGCCTTGCCAAGAAGAAAGGGTGGCCAGCATCCTGCCTAGTGTGTAGGCTGGGACTGGCCTGACCCCACAGGGAGGGGCTGGCACCCTGGAGTTCAGTAACGAGTTGCGCCTCCCTGCCCCCACATAGCCTGCAGCCACACCGGCCCTGCCCACCGGGCTACATCCCAGACTCCATTTCGTTTTCAGACGGAGGTAGGCTTCCCACCTGTTCCTAAGTACTGGATCCCCTCCTATGGCCAGTCATAGACACTAAGACAGACGTTGAGCAAGCCCCAGGCCTCGGCATCCCAGCCACCCGCTCCCGGGATGACTCAGTTCTCAGTACCTCCTCCACCTCCTGCAATGTGTAGTGTTCTCCAGGGTCCTTGATCATCCTGTGCACACGGGCTCCTGAGGACGGAGCAGAATGGGAAGTAAACAAGAACTGGCGTGGGGGACCCCATTCATGCTGGCTCCCAGGTGGCCGTACCACAGAGGGAGAGGAGCATGCTTTGCGAGGGCTGATTTTTGCATAGATGCAGCACTGTCCTGGCCTCCAGGGCTTTGAGTCCAGAGCTTTGAGAAGTCCCTCCTCAGGCTATGGTACCCGAGGCTCTTGGTGGCCTCATCGTATAGATAGTGTCTATAGAGGTCACTTTGAGCACCGCAGGTGGCATGGGATCCCACCTAACCCAAGTGGAGTTCACAGAGATCCCACGCCATTTGATGAAAGACTGAAGGAATGAAGGGTGAGAGGATGAAGCAGGCCTTGATCCTGTGGGTCTGGTGACTCCAGGAACTGAGCATATGTCTTGATGGTCACATGCACCTGTCACAACCAGTGTCCTAGCAGGAAAGGAACCTCAACCACCCACATCCCAGTGAAGGATAAAGAGGAGCCTGGATGACTGATGTGCCCTTGGGTCCCTAGCCCTGCCCTACCTTGGCTACTTTTGAAAAAGGTGGCCTAGGGGCTGGAAAGATGGCTCAGTGGTTAAGAGCACTGGCTCCTCTTTCAGAGGACCTGGGTTCAATTCCCAGCACCCATGTGGCATCCCACCACTGTCTGTGACTCCAGTTCCAGGGGATCCGATACCCTCACACAGACGTACATGCAGGCAAAACACCCATGCACATTAGAGAGAGAGAGAGAGAGAGAGAGAGAGAGAGAGAGAGAGAGAGAGAGAGAAGAAAGACAGACAGACAGAAACAAAGAAAGAAAAGAGAGAGAGAGAGAAAAGAAAGAAAGAAGGAAGGAAGGAAGGAAGGAAGGAAGGAAGGAAGAAAGAAAGAAAGAAAGAAAGA